CATCGTTATCGACGGGATCGAACCCATAACATATAACCGGGGGTCGACAACCATGTTTTACCTGTAGTTATTGTTAAACAAACATTGAGTAACCGGCCCTTAATCTTATTTCTAGGGAAATATTCTATACATTGACCTACAGGAAAGCTCTTGTATGCCTTGCGCTTATAAATAATCTAACAGCCTCATTGCGTACCTCGTAAATTGGCATTGTCTACTGTCGTGCTGAAATAAGTAAACGACGAAAATCGTCGAAAACTACGCAGTCCTACCACATGAAATGTTTGATACGATTCGTCTCTCGAAAACCGACTTGCATTCGATACGTCTCTCGCAATGAGGTTGTAAGTTGCCAAATGACCTGCAGAAAAATTGGTTCTACCTTTCTTTCGCCGTCTCATAACAGTAGATCTTGTCTTTTCTTGTGATAAAATCTAATATCTCGAGAATGAGAACAAATAGTGAAAATGACAATCTCATGTTAAATTCAAGGGTGAATTGCATTGCTTGTAATATGTATGGCGGGAGCTGAATTCACCAGTGAATCACTAGTGTGCGGTACTGGAGGATCCAGTGAACATTCAGGAATTTTAGTCTCGCTGTAAGAAAGAAAACATTCCTTTGAATTTCAAATTACTTTAAAAAATATAAGTTTTGAATTTTTTATTTATTTTTTGATAAAAATTTAAGCTGCTATTTTCGAAGGTCATTTGAATGGTGCCTATATAGTATATATATATATGTGCCGCCGATTATTTCACAACTTAGGCTACGAACTGCTACCCCATCCAGCATATTCTAACGACTTAGCCCTCTATGACTATTTCCTGATTTCAATCTCGGTGATACATTATTTTGAAGGGGCCTCCACTGAAATAATTACCACGGCACTAACGGACCTAGGCAACGATCCGGGGCAATCGTAAACCAAATGCTGATATGCAGGGTAGTGCAAGCGGAACTTGCTGGAATTTCGCTGACTAGATTTGTTGGTACACGAACGCCGCAGAGCGGTGTCCTGTCTCCTATTATGCGGGTATCAGCCCTAAATCCTTTGCTGAGCCACATGGAGAGCGGTTGCCCTGATTATAAGTGGGAAATTTCCGCAAACATTGTGTGACGTAATGCAAGTGAATCGAACTAAGGTCGAGAATCGAACCAAATGGAATGGCTAAGGAGTCAATCTAAACAGACCTGGTAAAATGGCAGTTGGACAAACGACAGCTGCTCAGATTTTCTGAATCCATAAACTGGTTCAATGTGGAGTAGGGGTTTTTGCGATCTGGGCGGTATCACAAACGGCCCGTTTGTAGGCCTAAGGCCCCGCCAGATAGAAAATCTTTACAGTATTACATTGTATTACCTATGATTTTTACAAAGCTAGTTATTGCTCATAATTATGAAGCTTTGAATGTTGGGGCATGAAACAGCAAAAAAACATAATCATAGAATAACAAATAACTTTAAAAATAAGCCAATAAAACTGTAAATAATTTGCTCTTAAAACAAGTAATTTAGTCAGACAAACAGCGCTTTTGAAACTCATATACATATGTACAGCGTGTTAGTATAGGAAACACTTTGAAAAAACACAACAACAAACTTAAAACGCATAATATGAACAAGAAAAGAAAAAAAACAACAACAAAGGTCAACGAATAAAATTGTCAAACCTGCCCAAAAAATCATCATTTGGACTACCAGGTATATCTGAGTCCCATAAATTAAAGACGGCCTTGAGTTCCAAAGTGCCGTCAGCGAAGGCAGGGGCCTACAAGAATAACGAAATTTGGTGCACGTAATTTACAGAAGCAATTGTTGTTCATAAATGGAAATTTGATGGCTAAATATGGATTTGTTGTTAGTTTATTTATTTTAGCAAAAGGTGAGCAATAAGTTCATTGACCTCGGAATAAACACAAAGTTGGCAGTCATGCAAATACAAGTTGGGGGTAATTGAAGGTTGGAATGTAAGATAGTTTTAACTGTTGTGGTAGTATTCAAAACAAGGCCAAAAACAACAGTAATAAATAGAAATTACAAACATGAACAGCTGGGTAGCGCCTCAACTACAAAATCTGCCATCTACTCACGTTAATTACACGGTAAACGCCAAGTGTTTGTTGAGCAATTAGGAGATGGGGGGGGAGTCCTAATTCGTTTGATTATATTTATATATAATTACTTGCTTATTGTTATTGTATATTTAGGCATGTGCATGAATTGTTATAAATTTGGTGACTATTGTTAGAATGTTTATGAGGTTAAGTACAGGTATATATGTATGTATGAGTTTTAAGTAATTGCACTGATATTTATTAAAATTCATATTACATAATTTTAATTTTTGATTACATTTTAATTATTTTATATATATTTTTTTTGTTTTTCATATATATTTCAAATTTATTATTTGTTTTACTTCATTTAATATTTTTTGTTTTATATCGTTTTTTATTTAATTTAATTTTATCGTTTTATTTTACATATTTTATTTGATTTTTTTATCATTATTGTGTTTTATCTTAATACTATTCTTCATTAACTTATTATTTTTATTTAATATTTATTTATTACATTTTTTTGAGTTTTTGTTTTTTAAATTTATTTTTCTTTTATTATTTTTATTTAATACTTTCAATTTTATTTTATTTTAGTTCATTTAATATTTAGCATTCTTTTATAATTTATTATTTGTATTATATCAGTTATTTTTTGTTTCTTATAGCTTTATCATT